GATCTATAGATTCCTGGTATGGAAGGTGTTTGTGCCACTATCAAATATATGATGTTATCCATGATTTTCACCAAACTTTCCACAAGAAGCTTATCACCAACTGAGACTGAAACACTGTAGAACTCTACCAGAAGCTCCCGGGATAAAAAAGAACAGCCTCTCCCTGAATGTACATAGACTGGCTTTCCAGTCATACTAAAAAGGAGTTCCAGGCACTTTATGACTGTGGAAGTTTTCATGTCTAGACAGGAATATAAGAATGGAAATCATGAATATTTATCAACAATGACTAACAAATATGGATTGCAAGAAGCCATTGAGAGGGGCCCTTTAATGTCAATTCTGATCCTTTTCATCAGACCAGTGGCTTTTATCAATGTACCTTCAGTTGGGTGATAGAACTGGGGTTTGAGTTCTGCACAAATCTAAGAATGCACAGGTTTTCTTGACATCTTCAGTTGAAAAGGGGAGATTTCTTGAGACACCTGGATGGCATAGTTTTCGTGTAATTCCACCAGAACCGAGATTTGGCAACTTAATGATGCACAATAAGTGTGACTGAAAGTGTCTGCAGCTACATTGTTTCTTCCCAGTCAATATTCAATATCAAAGGATAATTCACCAAGTTCCATTCTCCACTCATTGATTTTCACATTCTTTACTTTAGTGCATTTTATGTTATCATACATAAATGCTACAGACCTTGCATCTGTGTATAATTTGAAGTGATGTGGGGACAGATGTTTTCATTTTCGTATGACCTCTATTATAGCTAGAGCTTCCTTCTCAATGATGCTATATCCCTTTTCACTTGCATGGAATGATCTTTACATGAATGCTATGGGCCTTCCATTTTGGCTAAGTATGGCAGATACAGCATAGTCTGAAGCATCAAAATCTAACTGAAGGGGTAGGTTCTTGTCAATAGCCCATAAGATCGCTCTACAGTTTAAATTATTATTATTATTGTATTAAATGCCTTCTCTTCCAATGGAAACCGATCCGTTTTCACTAAGGCTTGGTTTTTTTTCAAAAATTCAAGGATCCATTTAGCGTAGTAAGCAAACATTCCCCTGATTCTCTTTAAACTGTTCATGTTTTTAGGTGGTGGTAGTTCCTGTAATGGCTTCATTCATTCAAAGTCAGGCTTTATCTTTCCATTCCCTACACAATACCCTAAGGTATTTAATGTAGTTACTTTCTTTATGGTTTTAGAATTGTTCAGTGTCTTTTCCTCACTACCTTCATAAAATTTTCCACATTGTTATCAATGTTCCTCTTCTGTTTCATCCCCAATTATCACATTATTAAGATAGGGAAATGTATCAGTCAGATTTTCTTCTTTTACAATTTCATTCATAGCACATTGGAAAGCAGGGACACCATTAGTTACCCCAAATGGGAGACAGGTAAACTGAAAAAATTGGCCATTTGCTTCAAAAGCAGTATATTTCCTGTCAGATTGTTTGAGCTTGATTTGATGGTAGGCACCTTTTTAGGGCAAAAGTTGAAAAGTATTTATACCTGGCAAGATTTGCAACCAGATCAGAAATTCTAAGCATCTAGTTCTGTGTAGATATTTATGGTTTGAGAATAGTCCACACGTAATCGTTTTTTGTGTATTTTAGCTTCGTCCTTAACCACTACTACTTGTGCATACCACAGTGAAATACTGGGTTCAATAATCTTATCTTCCAGAAGTTTTTTTTAATTTCCACAGCAATAAGATCAGAGTCCTCTTTACTAAAACATCTTGATTTAGTAGCAATCAGTTTGCATTTAGCTGAAATCCCTGGGAACAAAGTTGGTTCAGCTATATCAGCAGCTTCCAGGGCAAGACAGGCACCTGTGCCTTTCACAATGAGTTCCGGTAAATAACCGCCATATTCAAATGTCACCTTAAAATGTTGGGATTGAAATTCTCGTCCAAGAACATCACTTTATGATAGTCAAATGAATGGAAGTATATAATTTATCATTAAGACCCAGTTTAAAATTGACTACTACAAATCCATTAGAGCGACCATTAATACTTTTCTGGGCCATAGTTACTCTTTTGGACAAGGGAAAAATCCTCAGACAATAAATCCATGACTTTTTTGTTGATAAAATTTTCAGAAGGATAAGAATCTATTAGAGTATTGAAGGTTCTATTTTCAACCATGACGAAAGTAACAGCATGGGAAAATCCCACTGGTAACGTTAGTAGTGTTTACAGAAATACAAGCTGAATGAATCATAGCATTAGTCGTCATATTTGATGACCTACACATTTTTTGGTAATGTCCCTGCTTATCACAGTGATAGCAAATTACGTTACATGCCAGACAAATGGATCATTTATGATAAGGTATAATAGTGAACTCACACTCTTTAGGTCCTGTCACTAGATCTAACCAACACCTTTATCCACTGTGTCATGTGTTCAATACCCAGTTAAGGTAGTGGACAATTTGAAGAGGGGAATTAACAGGTGATAACTGGTAATTGACATCCATTAAACATGGCACGTGGAACTAGAACAGTCTACCCCAGTGAGCGAAATAAAGGGTTCAGTTCAATATTCCAACCACCTGAATAAGGCCAGAGCGTACAATGGCCAAAACATAATAAATATAGTGACAAAGATGAGGACAATAGTCCGAATAATGTAAATAGTGTTTCTTTGGCTACTATAAACAAAATATCATTTTAGCCAAAAAAATGGACTTAAGACCAACATTCTCATCTTTGTTATAATCGCCTGGATTAACCTTTTTAAGCTTAAAATATACAAACAGAACATCCTTTAGTTGATATTTGTGCAAGGTTATCATTTTTTTGTTCAATTTAAATTTGTTTATAATGGTGAAGCTCTGAAGATGATGCAATTATTAATCCGGAAGAATTGCTGTGACAGTAAGCTTAGGTAAGCCAGTCATTTCATAGAATGGTGTTTTTGGAGAATTGTTTTTTCTTTATTTCTAAATTGTATGGTAGGCACATGATAGCATTTACTTTTACATATTCATAAAGCAAGCTTACAAGTTGTTTAGAATCTTTTTCTTGTAAATTGTGTGAGACCTAAAGGAAATTGATTTGATCTTCATGTCTCCCCCCCTCCAATTTTGACATAAACTAGTGTCTGTCTTCCATTTCTACTTTAGCAATGGATTTTGGTGGCCATGACCGTCTGACTTTCATCACGTTTGCAACATACAGTTTCTGAGAAAAGTTATAAAATATTTAAAAATAGACTAGCCAACATATTCTCAAAAAAAAAAAAAAAAAAAAAAAAAAAAAAAAAATCGACAACCCACTTTTATTTGCGCAAACATTTTTGTTCTTAATTATTTTTCAGGTTTTATAAGAAAAATACCTACAAAGATTTGTAAAAACAAATTTTAAGGAAATAACTATGTTACATTATTGTTATATTAAAATGTTTAACAAAATTGGAGAGACAGTTATTAAGTTTTGAGAAAAAAAAAAAAAAAAAAAAAATCAAATCAAATAATTCATTATTATTGAAAATTATATTAAAAACCCAGATCCCATTGAAGATTAATGATTCCATGATCACGGAAAATTTATTCCCCTAATTATTATGCATCCGTGTACAGTTAATTATATGAAAAGTATGTTTATTCATTAGTTGGAAATACAATGCATTAAAAATTTGTATGTGTACAAATATTTGTTTCTCCCCACTATATATATGCTAGTGAGAATGGCTGAAATATGGAAGGACATTAATGTAATAACATGGAAACATTTTTTTGATCTCTTGGAATGTCCTAGTTATGACTCCATAGTTTGGAGTTGACAAAAAAAAAAGGATATGATGCACAAAGGATTGAAAGTAAATTTACTTTGTATTAAATCAAACAACTTTTGTAATTTATATTAGAAATCAAAATCTTCATTTCCACTCATAGGCTAACAATCATAAATTCAATAAAGAGTTGTGTTGGTTACATAACTGGAAAGATATCTTATTAGATGTTATGTACTACACATCAGAGGCATAGTGGATTAATGGATAGCAGCTTGAATTGAGGAATAGGAGAGCAGAGTTCAATTTCCAATTGGATCTGTTACATTCAGAAATGTGCTAATACCCTTGGGAAAGGTATAAATCCTCTTCTCTCCCCAGTTATGGGAAAATAGCAGGATAGACTAGGTTCTATAGTCTTGGTTGGCATCTGGTCTAGAAGGAAAACTGATTTCAAACCATCACGCTATCTTGCCCAAGAAACACCACTTCTGCTGCGATACCACCCTAAGGAATCATGGGATTTCGGATCGTGACTACAAATCAATGTGTAAATACAAAGACATAAAATTTACTTTCAAAACCTTTTGCAAGAAAGCCAAGCATTTCCCACTTGACTGCTTGTTTCCTTTTGCATAATAGTGGTTTTCTAAGTGTAGCTTAGATGTGGCACAAGGCCAAAAGCATGGGGTACCCAGTGAGGATAGAACTCACTATTCAGTCATAATTGATCTAGCAAGACAAGCTTGCTAATCATTACACCATGTCAAAAAAAATAAAAATTAAGAATTGGAATAAATATACAATAGAGTAATTTTCAAATCAACAAGCAATTATTTATTCACTAAAAGGGACTGTAATGAAAGCATTTATAAAATAAGGAAATTAAAATGACTATTCATGCAAATTTGTATTCCTTTGTAAATGGAACCTGAAAGAGGTGGTGTTTGTAACCAAGTATTCAACATTTTATTTTCAATAGAAAATAATTTTAAAACAAAATCATTACAAAAGTTGAAAATTTGTCACACCTCACATAGCAATGGTCTTATCCACAAAAGTTCACATGCAAATAAGTGCTGAAGACACCTGTTGTGTTCTATTTATAGTTCACTGGATTTATGAGAGGGTGATGTCTAATTTAAATTGGAATATTTACTGACAATATTTGGCAATCCAGGAGAACTTGTCACTCATTAAAACATTTTTAATGCATAAAATAAATTAAAAACTATAAACACATGTTTATGGCCATATCATGTTGAAACACCAGTTCCCATATGATCAGACACATTAAGCAATGTAGAGCTTGGTAAGTACCAAGATGGATGACCACCTGGGAATACCAGGTACAGTAAGTTTGGATGTGTGGACTGTGCAATGGATAATGACCCCAAATTGTTAATCAGAGAGCAGAGTTCCAATTCCTGCTGGGTCCTTTATATTCACATATGTGCAAATACCCTTGGGACAGGTATGAATTCACCTCTTCTTTCCCAAGCTATGGATTAATTAGTAAGACTTGTATCACTAAACCATTATTATCTATTAAAAAAAAAAAAAATTTACAATCTAAAAAATATTTTCTCACTTTAAATAACCTGCAAAAGGTTGATAAGCCGTAGAAAATAAATCAGTTAATCAATCAATAGATACAGAAATTTTACTATGATTTTGCTTGCCTTTTACTGTATCATCACTAACAATAGTCATCTACTTTGAGGATTTATTTCAACAGACAATTCATCAGCATTTTCTTCAAGTAGCCTTTCTTTTTCAATCAGAGGCTACAAGATGGTATTTGTCTTTATGCTAGGTCTACTGATAGTATTAATCAAGCCCTGTGGAATGAAGTCAGGATAATATAGAACAACATTGGTGGGTAAGACAACTGAAAGAATCAGCACAGTGACAACTTTCTCATTTATGTGAGATGGTTTAACAGTACAAGAATAACAGATGACTCCTAATGTGTGCTATTTAATTGGAAATATGGTAATCATAAGAGTAAATAAATGTTTTGATGTATTTAAGAAATCCTACCTTAAATAGAGAGCTACATATTATATATTAACATTTTTATTTGCTTGCAATTTCTGTTGTCATCTTTTTAAGGCTAATTATTTAGACATTGCATCTGCTTATCACAAGTAATTCAGTATTAATAATTTTATTGGATAAATTCTTTGTTAATGCTAATTTTTTTTTACAAAAAATATTTCAATTGTATGAGTGCCCTAATGATAGTTGATTCTTTTTTTTTTTAATCAGACATTACAATTCATCTCTATGCTTGGTCTACTGAGCAGGTTGTCAGTGGACCAAGCATACATGCATGGATTTTTTCAGTCATTTTATTTCTTCATGTTCTTCTCTATTATCTTAATCCCACATTGATTGATAACTACTCTGTCCCTGTATGATCAATCATGACAGGTTGCAATGTCTATCTCCAGGTAAGAGCTAGTTGATGTTTCTCCACCTTTACTTTAAAGAGACAGCCATTCTCTACTTTATATTTCTTGTCACAACTACATGGGATGGAAAACACAGAGTTCTTGGTTATGTTTATTTTCAATTATTATGAAAAAGATGATCAACATACTACAGGTAACATGTGTGATTGAATATGTTGCATAGGATTTAAAAAAAACATTCTTTCTTGGAAGAGTTTAAATCTAATTTGAGTGAAAAGAAAGCACAACATACTTGACAATAGGGTTTCTTTCCAGTATGTGTTTGTAAATGTTTGTTCAACTTTTATTTTACAGCAAATGAAGAGCTACACAGTTCACAAGAATATGGTTTTTCTCTAGTGTGTGTTCACATATGACTTACCAAATGTGCTTTCTAGGAAAAAGAAAACAAAGACTTCACAAAAATGATTGCTATCCAGTATGTGACTTCATATGACGCTTCACATGTAACTTGTCTGAAAATGAAGAACCACATACTTCACAAGAATAAGGTGTCTCTCCAGAATGTGTTTGCATATGCTGTCTCAAACTTTTCTTCCATGTAAAGGCAGAACCACACACTTCACAAGAATATGGCTTCTCCCCAGTGTGTGATCGCATATGTTGATTTAAGTTTGATTTTTCTGAAAATGAAGACCCACACACCCCACAGGAATAAGGCTTCTCTCCAGTATGTGTTCGCATGTGTCGATTCAACTTTGATTTTTCTGAAAATGAAGAACCGCACACCCCACAAGAATAAGGCCTCTCTCCAGTGTGTGTTCGCATATGACTAACCAAATATGACTTATGTGGAAAGGAAGACCCACATACTTCACAAGAATATGGTTTCTCTCCAGTGTGTGACCGTGCATGGTGATTCAAGTTTGACTTTTCAGAGAATGAAGAGCCACACACATCACATGAATATGGCTTCTCTCCAGTATGTGTTCGCATATGCCTGTTTAGCTTTGACTTTTCTGAAAAGGAATAATGACATATTTCGCAAGAATATGGTTTCTCTCCAGTGTGTGATCGCATATGTTGATTCAAGTTTGATTTTTCTGAAAATGAAGAGCCACACATTTTGCAAGAATATGGCCTTTCTCCAGTATGTGTTCGCATGTGTCTGTTCAACTTTGACTTTTCAGAAAATGAAGAACTACATTCCTCACAAGCATATGGCTTCTTTCCCGTGTGTGTTCGCATATGACTTATAAAAAGTGTCTTAAGTGGAAAGGATGAACCACATACTTCACAAGAAAATGCTTTCTCTTCAGTATTTGTTTGCATTTGTAGCTTTAAATTTGATGTCATTGAAAAAGAAGTCTCAAACTCTTAATAAAAATATGGCTTCTCTATTGTACGTATGTGTGAATATGTTAATCTCCAATTTACATGAAAAGGAACGTTACACACTTGAATATATTTTCTCTCCAGTATTTGTTTGCAGTTGCCTCAAATCCGACTTAACAGAAGTCACACACAGTTCACTAGAATAGACTATTTGCAATTAAAAAGGAATTTATATGAGGAACAAGATATATACTCATCATAACATTGTTTTTCTCCAGTGTGAAGTTTTATATGTCTTTAAAATTGGATTGAAATAACCTACATCCACAGGTTTTCAGAACAATATTTTCCTGAGTAGGTATCAAGATTTTCTGTTTTGAGCCAGAAATATAATGATGATCAATTCAAATTGGCCAAATTATTTTTCAGATGAAACATCTGTAAAAAGATTGAAAAAGTCAAATTTAGAAAAGAATATATTGAATCAAGAAATTAAGTCAGATGTATATTTATGTAGATATTTTCTTATATTGAAATGGATTTAAGAAAACATTTTTTTTTATTCATTGATTATTGAATTTATGAAAATCTATTTTCTGAAAGAAAAGAAAATTGGCTGAAATATTAGTTTTAAGCAGACATCCAAATCAATTTCATTTTAGAAAATATTAATAAAATATCAGTTGAAACAAAGGATTTTTTTCTATTTTAAAAAAAAATAATAAATTCCTGGAGAATTTAAATATTTTTAAAAATCTTTTTTCAGAAATTAAAATTAAAATTTATTCCCAAATTTAGAAAATTAAAAACTACAATATAAATTAAAATATTGCTTTGTTTGGCAACATTTTACTTTAGTTTTAATATATATTATGTGAATTTTTTGCATTTCTACTCATTTTAAAGCAAAAAAAAAAAAAGGTCATTCCTTTTACGGAATTTTCTTTTATCTTAATCTTCATCACTGTATATGACTTCATTTGTTGTACAACAGGTTTATCCTGCCACTGAAGGTGACACTGATCCTTGAACAACAGTGTTTGAATTTCATAGTTGTGTTGTCATATCCTGCTATGGCAACAGAAAAAAACTTTGAATGAAATTAACAATAAGGATACTACAACTGAGAGGTCTTAAAAAAGAATGTAGTAGAAAAGGAACTTATATTGATATTGTAGAGTGCTAATGGGTTAAAGGAACGGGAATTGCCATATCTACTTGTTAACAATTAAAAGGCATAAAAGAAAAGCAATGACTTTATGGACCTAATTGTTAAATTTTATTCAATTATTCAACATGAATTAAGATCAACTACAAAGTGATCACCAAATGAAAACTAAGTTTGTCATTATTTCTTTAAGTTGATTAATAAAATAAACTTTCAGACAATTTTCAAAACACAGATAGTTGAATGCATTAAACTTAAATGGTTTCTGTATTTGAAAAAGATGGGATGGATTAGGATTTACCTTGATAATCTGTTTGATGCTTGAAACTGTATCCTTGGACTAGCATCGATTTTTTTTGGGTGGGGTCAAGTGGATTTTCTTATTTCACTATTTGAAGAGTGCAGTTAGGAAAGGAAGTAACACCAATATTTTTATAAAAAAAAAAAACAAAAAACAAAAAAAAAACTCATAAGGCTTAAGACTCAGAAAAGGTGAATACTGGTCATTATTGTCCTGTCATTTGACTAGTTGCAGTCACAAATCCATTCATTTGATTATTTTTACTTTTACTGACAATACCTATGCAAAATACCTGTTTTTCCAAAATGGAAAAAAAAAAAAAAAAAAACTCCCAGTGGTCTCAGAAATTTACTCAAAATCAAGGAATTATCTAATTTAAATGTATTTTTGAGTAGTTATTCATAAAGGAATGAATTTTAAACTGAATAGTTCATTTTATTAGAATCACTCCAGCAGTCTCAATCTGCCATTGATTGTAAGATTTTAATTTAAAATCTATCCTATGAATCTGTGGAGGTACATAAATATTTTCCAGGCACTTGTGCATATACATTTAAAAGTCATATAAAAATAAATTTCATAAAATTAAATAAAGGATAACAGTTGTTAAAAAAAAAAAAAAAAAAAAAAAAAAAAAAGAAAAAAATTTAAAATACGTTTTTACCAAAATTTTCTAAAAAGAAAAACATAAAATAATTTCAATCATTTGTGAATAGGATAGATTTTAAATTAAAATCTTGCAATCAATGTTTTTCACAACAAAAAGACACTAAAATTTCCTATTAATTTATCATCGCCCACTGACGCAACAAAAATAATGAAAATTTTGAAGGTTCTAAAAAGGATTAAAAATATAATTATTAAAAAAAATCCTTTGGTTTTTCCTCTTTAAAAAGTCTTAACTTAATAATTTAAAATTAGGTACCTCCAATAATTCGGTATACCTAAGTTATAAATGAAAAATCTTGACGCTTTCATTTTAGCTTTAACTGAAAGCTAAAGAATTGAATTTTCTAATTCAAGAAAGCTGTGGTGTATTTGAAATTGAAATGATTTTTTAGTCAATTCATTTTTTTTTCAGGAAAATCAACTGAAACAGCTATTTTGACATATTTGTAAACAAAAGTTAATTCTT